ATAGTGAAGATGCATGAACACTTATGAATATGATGTTATGTACATAGTGAAGATGCACGAACACTTATGAATATGATGTTATGTACATAGTGAAGATGCATGAACACTTATGAATATGATGTTATGTACATAGTGAAGATGCACGAACACTTATGAATATGATGTTATGTACATAGTGAAGATGCACGAACACTTATGAATATGCTGTAATGTACATGGTGTCTATGTTCATGAAAATGGAGTTCGTTTTGTACATTCAGACTAGAATGATAAAACAAACAACCCCTAGATGTGTCCTCTGTTTCGAACCACTTAACTTGTAGTAATGTTTCCAATTTATAAAACCTTGTATCCATTTTCTACATTTTCCAAAACTTATTTGAATAATTCATACCTATCACATACCGTTGTCAGAGCGTACCGTGGGTAGATTGTAAAGGCTAGACGGACGTGACACAAGTACTATCGATTATTTACCCTGTCTGTACTACGCAGGACGTTTACCTGCTAATGGTACGTTTGAAACAAAGGAAATCACTTCTACTGCTGTATATGTGCTTTCACTGACAGTGGCACGTGGTTTTTGTGTTATAATGTAGCGGACAATAGCACTCTTCAGTTTAAAAAGGCCAAACGACGAAAACGGGTTCGAACATCAGAATATTTACCAAACTTACATGGCCGTACTTCTTCTATCTATTTATATTATTTATTTTTGTGGTATATTTTGTCCATGTGTGTTGACACTATGGTATATTTTGTCCTTTTTAGTTGACACTGTGGTATATTCTGTCCGTGTGTGTTGACACTTTAGTGAATTTTATCCATGTGTTTTGACACTGTGGTATATTTTGTCCATTTCAGTTGACACTGTGGTATATTCTGTCCGGGTGTGTTGACACTGCGGTATCTGATGTTTTCTTTTGTATTTCTATCCAAACAATATTAACCGTTAGAAATAACAGGATGTGAGTTATGAATAGGAAATCGTGTTCTGCTGCAGATATGTCCTATTATTTCATATGTCTATCACAAGGACAGTGACAGGCTCAAAAGGGATCACGTGATCTGCAAAAGCTTGTATTAATCAGGAGGAAAAAATATGAAAAAAATTGAAAACTCCAATTGCCATTGCCATTGGATTGCCTTTATTTTACATTGATTAAAGTTTCAATTAAATGGACTAAACATGGAATTTTCCCATATTCATGTCGTTTTAATGAGACCAATTTACTTTTATGCTAAATATGATCTGTCTACACACGGCCGCTTGGGACGTTTTTATTATTTATTGATGATTTGTTCCATTAACATATCACATTGTTGTCTGAATTATTCAGACATAATTGATTTAAATGTTTTTGTGATATTTTTTGCCACAGAGATATGCGTGTTCTGAAATATTCTGTTGCAAATAATTCCGGTAGTACACACAACCTATCGGTGATAAGGAGATACTATATTACATCACCTGATAACGTTAATGAAATAACTCCGTGTATTTTAAAGTGGTTCACGTATCATTAGGCTTTTTTTTTGTATCAAAACATTAATAGATTCTGCACGGAAAGTACAATATGTGGTGACAACCCTTTTGCGTTCGGATAGTTTTAAAAATATATCGATGTGTTGACGGCTTGATCAGGACCATTCGATTTCTTTGCGTTGATACAGGACGCATTTCGTTGACGACAATTATGTAGCATAGCATAATACTAAGCTTTGAACTTTCTCTTGCTGATGTATATCTAACTCGATAACGAATGTTCAGTATTTTGAAAAAGGCAGAATTATCTATCACGCTTTCGATCTTTTTAGTAGAGGAATATTAAAGAAACTCCGCGGAAATCCGTGAATGGTTTTTTCCAGTGAAAGAGGAAAGGTCCTGGGGGTTTTCATTTCAGATTATTATATCGTTCGCATCTTATATACCAGAGGAATTAGGAAACAAAGTCTATAAATGATCACTCATTGAGATGCTAAACAGTGTATTTGCATCACAATTTAATGTGAATCATTGACTAACAGATGTTGCATTTTACCTGTGTAGATACCCACATTGTCCAATGTCAAGAAATTACCTGTCAACATTTGAATATATTGATTTTTCTAGTAGATATATTGTACAATTGATATGGCTAGACCAATTATTATGACTGTTGATATAAAAGGTTAAGAATAGATGAATCATGGTAAAATTAGTTAGGATGCAGCGTCTCAGGATAACTCCACATTGAAAAGAGATATTTTCTGTTTTATGGGGATTAAAAATACTACAGACACAGATCTGTTTGGGACAGTACCGTGAACTGTGACTGATGTCTGTCCATTGCTTAAATACGTGAAAATGTTCAGTTAGCCTGACTCTTTAAAAACAAATATCGATATACCTGTACAAAGCAGTACGAAACAAAATCAATAAATCATGGAAAACATTAAAAAAAATCAATCGTGTGTGTCGACAGGAGATGTTAAATTGCATATTCCGTCTTTGCGTATTGCAGAGTTATCTTCTCTTGGGAGGAGGTATTGATTGTTACGTCACTTGTTTGTGAGAGTAACGTCATCAATTTTTGAGAAAACGACGTAATTTTCTCACACCAACCAATGACGTAACAATCAATACCTGCTCCCAAGAGAAGATAACTCTACAGTACGCAAAGACGGAATAGGTATTGAGAGTTAAACAGAAATTGTTTCTCCCCGACCCACCTTCTGTATATCGATCTAGGAAAACTGCTGATTTCAATAGTGACAACCATTCCATAAAGCTTATCTGATTTCGATGGTTATGCTTTAAACTAGAGTCTATCCATACATATGTTAAAATGTATTCTTATGTGTCAGAAAACGACGTGCGTCCACAATATTGTAAATGGTCTTAATAAATATGTTAATCGTTTTAACTGTACTATTGGTGTATGTATACTGTGATAATGCTTGAATGAATTGTTGTTTATTTTAGCAATGTATTAATGCGTTCAATAGTTTAAATGATAATTATATATAATATATATAGTAAGTACATGTACACTCTGTGATATTGTTTAAAAGAATGAATTTAATCTAGAAATATTTTAATATGCTAATAGCTTAAATGTTATGTGGTATATGATTGTGATAAATATTGGGATAATGGTATTTCAAAGATCAACACCGGCCGGACATTTCTTATGCATAGTTCTTAAACATTGTTAAAAGTATTTTATGATACATACATGTATTGAAATGTGTGGCATGTTAATAAAATATTTATTATTAATATTATTATTGTTAAATAAAAATTATATTTCGAAATTTATAGGGGCCATGATTGATATTGTCGTAGACTCAGATCTTCATGATGGTAAGATATCAATCAAAATTGGGTTAGAAATACATCTTTCACAAACACCTGTTGCTTTTTAACAGATTGCTATTATCAGGTCAAACTGTCAACATTAGTTCCAGACTTAACAATAACTGTAAATAACATACATACATGTTAATCGGTTATTGAAACAAACACGGAACCTTTGACTTATGTGTGCATTGGAAACTTGATCATTTGGGCTGTTTGGTTGTGCGTAGAGTGTAACCTGATATCTCGACAAATACGTATTTGGTTAACGTATACAGTGGACACTTGAAGTTTGGATTATATGTTCAGCAAAACATTGTATCGTGAAACTGGATTCGTCAAAATTATTTGGTAAACAGGTATATGTATATCGTGAAACCTATCTGATTTAGGAAACTTGGTTTGTGTTAATAATTAACTGTTGAATATTGATTTTTATGTACAATCTAGGAATATTTATCAAAAAGCCGTATTTGTCGAAACTGTTTGATTTTTGTCAAGTTAAACCCTTTTAGGTTTAACTTTCATATTTGTGCTTTCAATTTTTCTTAATTATTTTGTTCGTGTGCAAAATGGAACATTGGGTAATTTTAAACCATGTTAGTGTTTTTTATTTTTATTGATTTTTACATCATAATTTCGTTTGTAGTTAGATTACACGAAATACTCGTATAAGAAAAAGATTGTTGCAGCAAAAAGTTTGTTACGTTAACAAGGATTTTAAAGACGCTTTCCATCATTTCGTCTTTTTGTGCGTGTTCTTCTATATGTATTTCGGAACCCTTTGGACAAAGATTTCAATGTTTATTAATAAAATTAATACCACTGATTAGTCTTTAAAGAGTAAATGTTGACTTAATGTGGCTTTCTGTATCGGGTTACATAATTTTGAAATAGGTGCTACCTAAATAGCATGTGATTATTTTCTGAACTATTTGGATCATCGATTATCCAGACTTCTAGTATTTGGTTAATTTTATCAATAGAACTTTATTCTTTTAAACTGGTTTTTATTTTCTTCAATGAAACATTGTTCGTCTTAAATGTTAAATTTGTGTTCACAGTGGAACCATCTTTGAAATGCAAGGGTCTCGCTCTCGGCATACCACATACATGTAGTTTCTCTACACCGTAGGAATATGTCATGTCAAAATTAAAGGCTCTGTATATGCCGCCTTGCAGATAATAATAAATAATAATTTGAGGTTCTTGTATACCGCTTTATCACAGCCTAGTTCGTAGGTCGTCTCAAAGCGGTTCACAAACTATCATCCGTGGTTATAGGGCCTTTGCAACCAGCCAATATCTTTCTCAACTTCCTGGGAAGCATACAGCCGGTGCTGCCATTTCGGCTCTCACAGCTTCGGTCACGAGCCCGGCGTCCTACCACTTGACTACCGTGCCTCCTAAATGACACAAAATATAAAATTAAAATAAATAGATTCAGGAAAATACATTATGGTGGTAGGGATTTTTTTTTCCAGACAAACAGAAGCTGAAAAGAAGGCAACATGAACTGGATTTCTTTATTTCAAACTGATATCTCATTTTCAGATAAACAGAAGTTGTAGAGAAAACAACATGAATTGAGTCTTCTTATGATGAAATATCGTGATTGGGATCGCATGCACTCTATTTAAAACTATTTCCCCTTTTTCAGGTAAACAGAAGCTGAAAAGAAGACAACATGAACTGGGTCCTACTTGCTTACACACTCTTTGGATGTCTTGTCTACGCAGGTAAGATTAATACAGATCAAAATAAAATAAAGTCTGTTGGAAATGTAAACAAAAGCATGCTTATTTATAGATTTATTTGATCGCTGTTATGTATACGTAGATACAATGCATGTTGATGCACATATACGTTTGCACATTAAATGAGCACAATTTACAGCGAGGAGTAAGATGAAATAGATTTTTGTTATTGATATTAGTGTAATCTCGTGATACCAATTATTATTGTTCAAATTTCTTTCACAAATTTCCCACTATATATACCATTTTAACGAAATGTGCCCTCTTGTACTTCAAACCACATACACATATATTTGAACAGTTGGACTTCTTTTATAGCTGACACAGTACTATTTTTTCCCATTCAATCAGTTCAATTTATCAATTTTCTATGATACAATCATTTGGTCTTTATTCAGATGTAATGTATTGGCGAGCATAAGTCTATCTTTTTCAGACGTGAGTGTATTTAAAAACAATATCATATCAGCAATCTTAATGTCCAGACTAACAAAGTTTTAATTTAAAATCACATGGAAAAACGCATTTTATTATATACAGCATAATTTAACCTCAACATGAACTTATATCCCACATACGTTTTTCCGAACTAAAATGCTTATTTTATGCCGGATTGTTAACTGGATTTTGTAAAATTAATTGTAACTTGATGTAAAAAATAATATGTGTACAAGATTTTATAATAACATGAATGTCATCTCCAACCTTAGAACGGACATTTAATGGTATCATTTACGCGTATTTAGTAAAAGATTGTTTTATTTGATATTTTTTTTTGAAACATATCGCACTTTAGAAGTTAATCAAGCTTTCCTAGACAAAAGTTGAATGTACTAGATCCACGCGTGTTTTAATCTATCACCCATTTAGTTTATCTAAACACACAGGTTAATCATGTATTTCCTGTTGTGTTTGTCTCTTAAGTTCCTGTTGTTTGTTATCATTGTGATGACGCAGTGTTGTTTTATTCATGCGTGTTTGGCACTGTGGTATTCCGTCTTTGCGTATTGCAGAGTTATCTTCTCTTGAGAGCAGGAATTGATTGTTACGTCATTTATTTGTGAGAGTAACGTCATCATTTTTTGAGAAAACGACAACATTTTCTCACACAAATCAATTACGTAACAATCAATACCTGCTCTCAAGAGAAGATAACTCTGCAATACGCAAAGACGGAATAGTTTGTTTAATCAATAAAATTGTGGTATTTTTTCTATTTCTGACTGGAAGCATAATATGGCATCCAGCTAAGGGCACACCTTTTTGTATTATAAAGACACTTGTTTTAATTTAGGGAAAAAATAATAGAACACTTTCTATTTCTATATAAAAAAAATAACGTTGAAACAGGGTTGTTTGTTTATATTAGAAAAGCTGACAAGCAAATGAATGCCTACTTTCAACTTGAACCATATTTTGAAAGGTCACAAGGAAGAAACATCGACTCGACAACCTTTTCGATATGTGCAAAATACGTGAAAATACACAACCCAATATAACCATTACACTACTCTAGTTATGCAGTTCATCACATTTACTTTTTGTGTGTATCAAATTTCAAATTTAATCGTCGTTTTACCACGAACTCCAAATGAAATAAAACGTTAATATTGCAGACCTAGCAATACATTCAATGAAGCAGTATTACCAAAAAGATGGAAATCAGTTATGTTTTTATCATTTTTTTATCATTATTATTGTTCCTAGCCAATCAAATTATTTTTGAAGTAATAAATCAGCATGGCCTCTTTTCCTCATTAGTTCTTACACTCGGGCATATTCCGTCTTTGCGTATTGCAGAGTTATCTTCTCTTGGGAACAGGGATTGAATGTTACGTCACTTGTTTGTGAGCAAACTCACACAAACCAATGACGTAACAATCAATACCTGCTCCCAAGAGAAGATAACTCTGCAATACGCAAAGACGGAATAACGCCTACTGGGACAATATGTGCGAAACTACGGCAGGGTTAAAAATATTAAGCAGTCAAGTAAGAAGAATATGGAATATTTTCATTATGCTCTTTACTTACTTTCTGACTTTTTTGATTGAGTAAACCTCTGCTTAATCATTCACAATATTTTTCCAAACTACACAGATATAATATGGGACAGTTGCAGCCAAGAGTGTTTAGATTTCATCAAATCCATAGAAAAGGAGGCCAGCTCTATTATTCGAACGCGAACAGGTAACGACTAGAAACATGTACTCCCTATCTTTTCTTACTTCTAAACCCGGCAAAAAATCTGTAGGAACAGATTTAAGAAACATGCTCCTCCTACCCTTTATTTCTCCTGAATTTCACATTATTTTTAGAAAAGACTCATGTTCTCCATACTCTTTTCTTTTTGTGCACTCTGCGAACCGTATGAATACACAAGAAAAACATGTTCTCCTTACCCTTTATTTCTTCTGAACGTCACAAAAATTCCGTTGAAAGAATAAACATTTACTTCAATACTCTTACCCTCTTCTTCATTCCGTGAAAACCGTAGGAATATGCATGAGAAATTAGCTCTCTCTCTCTCTCTCTCTCTCTCTCTCTCTCTCTCTCTCTCTACCAAAACTTGTTGGTAAATATTACAGAAGCTTGTTCTCTCCATCTTTAATTTCTTCTGAACTTATTAGGTGTAGACTAGAGAACCACAGTCTCTTTACCGTTTCTTTCTTTGCTGGTTAAATCGTGAAAAAACATGGCCTCTCTTCCGTGTCCTTCCATCTGATATCCGTAAACTCCTTAACATTACCGTAGGTAATGACTAAAGAAACGTGGGTATAAGACCTTCACTCTTTAAAAATTATGTAAAATCTCCGAACGTAAAGTCTAGATAAATGACATCTTTTTATTTTCCCAGAAAACTCTGAACTACGTAAAGACTGAAGAAACAAAAAATATCTGTTGATTATATCTCAAAATAAATGTTTTAGCATACACAAACAATACCTAAGTGTGTATGTCTTCCAGTCTCAAAAATTGATAATTGATTTTATTACGTAACGAAAAGTGATATTGTTTTTTCTGAATAATGAAATATTGATATATGCATATTTAATCAAATAGTGTTACAATTTTGTTCACACTGTCCCCCTTATCATGGACAAAACCTGAAATATTTAAATATCTACTCCTATACAATGAGCTCGGCCTTTCGGGTCTTAGGACTGGAACAACTTTGGCTTCATGCTTTCAATATTTCTAATTAGAGAATTATCGATGCACGGAAATCTCCAGTAAGAATCGACTTCTATTTTAACGAGGACATACGTCTTGTTACAACTTATAATTAACCCATTCCTATTTTTAAAACGTCTTTTAGTTAGACTTATGTTTTCATAAACATTCTGTTTCTACTTCATTTCATCTAAATCAAGATCCTTTCGGCCCCAACATGTTAAGCAGCTTTGAATCATTGCCTAAATGGCTACCAGAAGAAAACAAATGTCCATTATGTTTTATTGTTCGCTGTGCTTTTCTATTAAACTTGCAAAACAATTTCCTCACTTTGAAAGGAGAATGTCAAAAACTACACACCACAATGGAGATTTTATCAAAAGCTACCACACAATGTAATTACTTTAGAAATGACTATCAAACCAACAGGAAAGCTAGAACAGAAGAGAAAAGATCAAAGTTACACAGATCTAATGAAAAGATCTTACGATGGTGGGCGCCAAGATCCTTCTTGGATCTCTTCTGTATCGGATTACTTGAAATAAGTATACGTGGCACTGTAGTCCTTCTCACTTGCATAGATATGGCTGCATGCAAATATATGAATCTACAGCTTACGAGGGCTTTTCAGAAGTTTGAGGAATAGCATTGCTTTTGTTTTGTTTCTTTTAACAATAATCAGTATTATAATCGGGACCTGTTACAAAATTGGTGAAAAGACATTACATTTTGCCATTATTCTTTTGTTAGGGCTTTTCACAAAGTGTGTGAAAAAAACTATTTTTTGTGCTTTTGTTGTTATTATGTTTTGTTTTCATTTATATATATATTTTTTTCTTTACGTCAAGAACTCTACACAGCAGTATTTTTTCCCCCTTTATCTGGATCACAGATACATCATATATTCTACACTTCATTGCCTGCACCTGATACATTATATGGCCTACGTTTCCATTGAATGTTTATAACTTCCCCATCAATGATTTTTCTTTTGCCTTTAGGCATGTGCTATTTTTGATATCGCAAAACGTCCTAAACCAACTAATCTTATATCAGAGATACACCATAAGCAGTACAACACATTTCAAGTGTTGTGTAGCCACTTGTTTCTTCGGTCCAGGGACTTTGTCAGATTCCTCACCAATGTTAAGATTTAACTCTGCTTCTCCAAAATAACAATAACTGGACAATCATAACCTGGAATACTATTGATTCAGTGGTATGGCATCCGAATGCATTATTCGGATTCTGCATAGGACGTTTAATTTGCTTGTCCAGTTTCTTCTACATTATACTTGTCTGTGTCCTTACCTTAATAATTCAAATTTTGTTATGAGTACGAAATATTTGAAAATGTATAAGCAAATGTGAACATATTTCGAACTTAAAATTCAATTTTAATTTGATTTTTCTTAATTTGATTCAATAGCGAAATATGATTTTAAATTTGTTCTGATTTTAAGATTTATTTTAAAAAAAAAATTAAACTCATTTATTATTATTATTACTATTTCTAAAAATTAACTGTTTTGAAATTTGTGAATATCAGTCTAATTGGTCGAGCAATATCATCCGTTAGCTAACGTAAGTGGTTGCATGTAGTTCTGCTTCTTAGATCAATCGCTGTTGATTGTCAAAAAAAGGCAACACATGTAATTCCGTACAAATCTTGCTAATTATCGCAATTGGGTGGAGTAAGACAAATGAAAAGTGAAAATCTTCCCGTTTTACAATACTTTTAGAATATATTCTAATGGAGGTTTTGGTGAATTTTCCAATTTTCCAATTATCATTTCCCTCCATAATTCAAGCAAGGCAATGCGATTCAAGCTAAATTCAAGTAATCCCCCAAAATCATTGACAAAGTATCAATCAGATAATAAAAATACATTTCAGGATAAAAGTAATTGTTGTGAGGGGTTATATTTGGTGTGAGGGGTTATATTTGTTTCTTTGGAATGAAACCCAGCTGGGTTTATACCATAACAAATCTTTACTAAGAGTGTTAAACTGAATTCGTGTGTAAGACTGGCGTTAACTATAGATGTCAAAACATGTGGTTTGTCCTCTTTTGTTAACATCATGTTCACTGCCGAGATTGCTATAAATCATGCAAGAAGTGAATGTCATCATTCTGACTCTTGAATATGAATATATTTTTTTCTAGCTGGAGTATGGCGTATAACGATTACAATGAAATCTCGGAAAGCGTATACCAATAAATGGAAAACTCTTCGTTTCCCTAGAAAGGAGAATTACGTCGGGTACGTATCTCATCTATATTAACATTTCGAATAGTCTTGTTCATGTTGGGGTTTGAGTAAGTTGTTTGATTGAATGATCACGGGATGTTGATTGTTATATACTACAAATTGAGTTTTGAATGTGGAGATGCATTTTATTTGCTTTATTGTCGTTCTTTTGACTTGGCCTTCATTGAAAGAGAGAAGTGTCTGTATTGGGTTTTTTTATTCCTGCAAGCATCGTGTTTGCCAAACACTGGGGGTGTTTAGAAGAGTAATGTAAGAAATGCAATTTTGCTTTTTCAACATCTATGAGATCACCACACCAGTTATGAAGCTGCACAAGCAACCATCTACTTATTAACTTGTAACAAATATTTTATTTGAAGACTAGTAAGCAGGTATGCGACAGCATCACAATATAAAGGTTATTAATAACGACTATACGACTAATATGCTTTAATTGCCCTTTTGAAGAAAAGCTTTGTCAATTACAACGTCAAAAATATCTAGCACAGAGCAAATCAAACACGGGGGTTTGATTGATGTTTTTTTTTTCGAAAACGAGACTATGTTGTACATTAAATAAGACGTTTCTTACAATGGACGCGTTGTTAGTTAACCTTCAAATTTGCAATACATTAATTAACATTCCTAGTAGATAGCCATTTACAATATTCATACAGGAGGAAAATCATATAATATTTTATAAATGTTGATTCTTGGAAACGTTCTTATGTAAGTGCACTCAAATTTTAGCGCTTTATCCAATTTTAACAGAGTAGCGCATCCAACAAAAAATACAATAGAAAACCATTTCCCTGAACTTCAATTGGTGCAGTCATAACTTAGCGCAATATTTAAAGGCGATAAAATAAGAAAACCATTAAAATATGTACTTTTACAAGTTTACTATTATTTATTAACAGGACTACTCATGGCAAAGGAAAACATATAAACAAAAAACATTGGTTTTCAATGATAGGTATGTCTTTGTGGTTCGTACTATACCAGAGCAACGAGAGTCCATCAATACTGCAGAAAAGAAATACAAAAAAACAATTAGAATAATTATTGTAAAATAATCGGAAATTTTATTTCTTTTGAAGCAATTTGGATATTCGATGGCCGATCACAGCTTCACTTGGACAAATCATTATGTTTGATATGAAGTATATGAAGCTTCAAGCTAGTACTGATTGCCAGGCAGACAATGTACAGCTCTTCAATGGTACGTAAAACATGTCAACGTAAACAGGTAAATGACCCATAATCCATGGAAATGTATCAGCTACTTATACCTTTAAAGTTAGATTTTAGTCACCTAATAAAAACAATAAGTCAACAAAACCGTATTTCGAGTCAAAATTCGTTAAATTAGGAGGAAATATGAAATAAATTTACTGAGGGTAAGACCAGGATTTGCGTTTTTGGCTCAATCTATTTATGGGGAATAAACCTCAATTGGTCTTGAGACAAATTTTATGAACTGCGAAGCTGTTCATTTTAAATTTGTCTCAAGACCCATTGAGGTTTATACCCCATAAACCTCGACAAAATGGGATTCTATCCTTATATTTACATTCAGAGCGATATTGATATATGTTCGGATAACTTCTAAAATATCGGTCTTGTGCAAGTCTAACACCACGGAAGGTAACAACTTATGACGTCATCACTCACTGTGAGACGTTGTCCTGGTAAGATGAATAAGCAAATTAAGATGTAAATTATTTTTTTAATTCAATTGAATACTTCTTATAATATGCTATTGTATTCATACGCCAACTGAAAAGTTCATTGCAAAATAACCTTTAAAATGTTAACTAGGTATATTGAGTCCAAGTTCAGTAGAAATGTAAATATTTTATTATAAAACATACATAAGAGTGCTTTTTTCGAAAGTGATCAATGGAGTATTTTCTCCTAGAGCTTCCTTGTTCAGCTTGACAGGGGTCTTTTATGAAATCAGTGGGTTTTTCCTTTCAATTCAAGTCATAAAGCTTAAATGCGTGAATTTCACAATAATTGAAAAGTAAGTCATGGTATTATTTACAACAACAAAAAAGATCCCTTCTTCCATCCTCTAAAATCCCGAAAGCTTACCTTAGCTTTTACAGCATCTCGAAGTTTTGCCTATATTGATTCGATCGTTAACAAATTTTATGTTCACACGTATGGCGGTAGTTGTCGATGAAGCAGGAGACGCTTATCCTTCCCGAACACCTGGTCTCAATCTCCTTGTATTGTTTTTAGGCGTTTCGTGAAAATCTTACCTTTATTCACATTTTCCCTAGTTTTATCGATTTCGGGTTCGAAGCATGGTTTTGTTGACACTTCAGTATTCTCGTGTTTCTTTTTTTACCAATGAAGATGCCAGCAGAATTTATTTGTCAATGAAACCAGGTGTTAAAATTGGAAAGTGCCTGTTATTACTGATGACCTATACTAATGCTGATACAGTGCTACTTAAATAATATTGTGTATGCTTATATATATAGAGAGAAGGAAATATATCCTAATGTGATCAGAAATATTTTCTTAATGATAGAATGTTAATACCAGAAATTGAAATAACATTTTGACATTTGAAAAGCAAAAATCTACGTTTTGAACTTCCAATAAAATAGGACATGTAAGGAAGTTATAACGCGTTTATCGGAAACGATAACGATTATAAAAAGTAGTCATGTTGAGACTTCAATCGCTGCCCCAGAAAACACCTTATACGCGGAGATAATTGTTGTTATTTCTATCATAAGGTGTCGACTACAACAGCTACAGTAACCGGATGGATATCTTTTGCGGTAACGTTATTGGTGCCGGCTTCTACAACTCCACTGAATCGTCCACATTGATCAGGTTCATCTCAAACGATGACGTTGTTGTAGGATACGGATTCAAGATCAGATATCGGGCGGTCGCACTTCGTAAGTAGTCAGAATTTTTGTAAGTCATGGAAATAATCTAATTTGTAGAATAACGTCCGATTGATTGATGCTACTAGTACTGCTACATTTATTGTATAGATTATAAGAGTCTTTCATGTCAAGGGGTGCAGGACAGGAAAATTTCACCCGAGGGGTTTTCAAAAATCCTGAGGGTGGATTTTCCCTATCATTTACTATTGGGCATGACAGAGTATTTTTTCTCTTATTCCAACTACTACCATAAGCTCAGAACCCATGAAAATGCGTTTTGAATGGCTACCATTTTGAAAATATCATTTTTTCCTAGGACTTTTTTGACGAGAACGAATTCGTCAGCGAGATTTAACTAACCCCATATTTGCAAACAGAGTTTTCACAGAAAAATAATCTCAACTTTCTAACGTGTACGGTAAATATATCGTTAAAGGTTTTAATTTCATCACGTTGCCTTTTCCGCATTGCGGTATTGGTGTTTTCCAAATTTGTGACGTCACGTCATTGTTGAGCCATTGTGACGTCACGCAAATGTAAGTACATGGCCAGCATTATCTTACATGACCGGATATGAGAGAAAATTGTATTCAATGAAATCTACGAAAGTGTATATCTAGCTGAGCTGAAAACACTTCGATAACAGCGGTATATATGCAACAATAGTATTTCATAATACATATGTGGGTATTGCAGCCGTAACCACAACAGCAACAACCACAGCAACAACGTCCACGACAACAACAACTCCTAAAACGACGATAACAATAACAACAACAATCCCGACGTCGACAAAATTACCGACAACAATATCGACGACAACAACAAAACCGACAACACAAATGACAACTTCATCGACGACAACCTCGACGACGACAACGGCAAAGACGACAACTATTTTTAAAGACACGACAAATGCCAAAACAACGACAACAAATGTTGTGGTTACTTCGCCGACCACACTGTCGGACCCGGAAGACGAAGATGACAGCAGCGAGGAAACTCAAATTGAATCCTCTGTGCTAACTGAAACTTCATCACTGCTGAGTATGTCTTCGCACATCCTCTTGTCATAGTGTTTTTTTAGCAATAGCTTCTAGATAGTAAAGCATGTCAGATGTCACTGTCTTTAGACTTTTAGATATATTCCGGTGTTGTAGTTCTACGACTATCATGTATACATTCCTCTTGAGTGGACCCATTCATCAGAGTTCAATATTACCTATCGATTATTTTAGGAGCCATATTCGTATGAAATACATGAACTGAGTGAGAGCAATCAATTCCAGATTTTCCATGATTCCTTAATGTAAAAACCTCAGATGAATATCATTTTTCCTTCACAATCCATAAGAATGCGCATTGTAGTACACACGAGTCAATTAAATTATTTTTTACTATAACTTCTGTACGGCACGTGCGGGAATTTGTAATTAATTAGAATATGACAAAGTGGAAATTATTATTACGAAAAAAATATAAATCGTTATACCGATGAGGGACGCAGTAATTAAGGACAATGTTGTTTTACCTTATATTATGGGCATCGAATATAACTAGATTTTCATGCAACTCAATTTGCCACAAAATACAAGTTACAAGAAACTTTATTTATAGTCGTATATATGAAACAGAAACATTAGCTGTGAAGAGCTATTATTACAACAAAACATAAAAAAATATCACAGCAAGGTAATAAAACATATATAAAAAAAAATACTATAGCTAGGTATGAGATTATTTGTTCAAACATATTAATTAAAAGTAAATATATAAGAACAAGCACAAATTTCATGCAAATCTGTTGAGTAACTAAAAGCACATGGCTGTATATATTTACCGAATAAGCATTAATATAATACATACAGAGTATATGGAGCATGATAAAGCAAACGTAAAGATAATGTTTTTCCTAGGACTTTTTTGACGAGAACGAATTCGTCTACAAAACGAATTACATTACAAACACATTATATAACGAGTTAAGCACTACAAGCAGGTTATATACCAAACCAAATACTACCGAATGAGTTGAGATCCTTCTTTCTAAACAAAATGGCCATCCTGTTTCATACTCCTCCTTAGATATATTAATTGATTCACATGAATGTATCAAAACGGAATGTCAATTGATGGCTTCAGTTTTTGTTTTTAGATAAGCATTATTCTTATTGTACGCTTCTTCTCCTACCCTAAGGCCAGTCTGAATATTTATGCTCCTTAACGTCTTGCCAATATTGTAGCCCTGAACATCACCTTGATTCCTTGCACGTTATATTTCTTCATTCTTGCAGTTACAGTTTTCTTCATTCTTGCAGTTACAGTTTTTATCATTCTAGCAGTTCACAGCTAAACCATTTAAATTACCATTCGTTTTTGTTACTACCTCTTTCCATGATTTGTGACCATGCCTTAGTTAGGAGCAATGCATTCGTAAACAGCTGCAACCCTACAAACATCAAAGTTGTTCTGCAACTAAAGTTGAATTTTAAATGTTTTCAATGCCATCGCGATATGTATTGCAGTAAATGTATATTTTGGTCTTCAGTAACGTATTAATAACACGCATTAAGGATCCCTGTCCCACTGAACCGTTGGTTTTTCCTATACTCAGTAATGCCTCCTTGATTATGAATAGTACAACACTCTGAAGTCACGGGTTCGGATTCCGGTCTAGGCTCCACTATATTTTTACACTCAGAAAACTTTTGTTGATTATATTTCGTTTACTTCTGCTTTATTATTTTTTATAAAAGTCCCGCAAGATATGGTTTCATTTTCAGAAATTATTTATCAAAGCTATATTCATGCCGAAAAACAGTTTCAAATGCGTAGTTACATTTTTGGTAGTAGTACGAGAATCCTTGGGTTTGCGCAAATCCTTTTACATCATGTATATATATGTATAATCATTTAATATGCTGGGTAGCTTTTGGTCAGTAGTATGATGGTGTGTACACATATGGGCCCGGTTGTTCAAAACTATCGTTAAGCTAACGACGTCGTTAACTTTTAACGACCCGCTAACCAGGGTTTAACGACATCGTTAGCTTAACGATAGTTTTGAACAACCGGGCCCTGACCTTAGTTAATACTATGCTAGTTTGTTATCAGGGACACGATACATTAGTCATATGATATTGTGTACACAAATTACTATGGTTAGTATTATGATAGTACACAAAAACGACCTTTGTGAGTTTAAATTGAATTTTCATAAATCATGTTTTTTTTTAAATTTAAGGATGCACTCCTCTGAGAAGTCAAAAAAAATCCTGTATTAAATTTCTTTACTTAAATGAATTTTTGGGAAATGAGTTAATGGCATAGTGGAAAATGCCAAAATAATGTCCGTTTGTTTGTTTTTGTGCTTTGATCGGTCAAATATAACAGTTTAACAAAATATGTGACTGTAGGTGATTTTGTTTTTGTTTTGACCATTCGCAGAACAAATTCATACAATATATTCTAGGTGTGTTATCAGATATGAATGAATGTTTGCAGAATTGATACAAATAGTATTTTCTTTTAAATTATTGAAGTAAAATTTCTTTAACTTATTCTTTTAACTCAGAAAAGCGATATGAGTTACACCTAATCATTATTTTGTAATGAAAACATAATCATTTTCACCATATTTTGCAGATTTAACGCTTTATATAAAATGTTCTGCTATTAAACTTTTTTTGATATTTTATCAATCAAAAGAAGATGTGTTTCTCTTTCTAAAACAGCAACAGAAATGAGGAGTCTGTGTACTCCTTAATTATTTGTGTCATTTTTCAACTCTTTCGAGGTCAAAAATTGAAAGTGCTTCAGTTACACTAAATATATATTGAAAAAAACCCAATTATGTTTAATTTTCCACTTTGTTGCATATTATTTTCATCATATTAAACATTACAAAGTTGTACAGCAAAAATCAACTTGCTACAATTAACAATGGCGACTCCATGACGCTTTAAGTAATCAATCTTGTGTCAAAAAAGAAAAGGTGTAATTTTGGCTTTTGTGAAGCGCAAGAAAAACATATTTTCAAAACGGCCGCTGAATTGTTTTTTTTTTTAATTTTTGTTAAAAAAAGCTTTACAAACAACAGGCATTTAGTTTTTGACACTTTTGTCAGATGTGTATTTGCTTTTAAAATTGATTATAATTTGTTAAATATTACAAAAAAAACCGTTACACGAGATTAAACGAGACTTGAACGTGATTTGCACCTCAGACGGGTACATCCTTAATGATATTAAGACATAAAAGTTAACTAAATACTATTTCCACATTTTAAATTTCGTTCCAAACAAAATACTGCCTATTTAATTGATCTTTTTCTACATTTATATTTGGATATCTCTATTTACATATGGATAACTAAAGCATATCATTGGTAATATATATATGCATAAACATGGAATAATTGTTCTCGTAATCAATCCAGGAATATGTTTCTCACGTATTCAACATACATGAATGATCGGTTGTGAAATCCTTTGTTCATATATTCAACCCAGCATGCTGTTTACGTATTCGACACAAAACGTATTTTATCAATTCTTTATTCACTTTTCTAATGATATCAATATATTTGGTGTCAAAAATATTACAATGTTTTGTTTACAATTAATAAACTTGTATTGTATTTCAGCTATCCCGTTTTGTTTCCATCACTATACGAACCAACATATTCTCACTGCATCGAAACAAGTCCAGGTGTTCAAATCACGTGGCTATCCCTTGTCATATCCTAGGTAAGTAGGTTTGAAAATAAACGTCTTGTCATAAATCATAATAATTTACGTTGTATCCAAACAATGTAAAAAAAAAGGAGGTTCGTGCGTCTCTTTTTTATAACACTGTATCTTTGAATATCATTTTTTTTCATTTGAAAGGTCAATATTTATTTATAATGGGTCCGCTTATATAAAATTACAAAAGCAGAAATATTGTGATTTTTTTATTCTATTTCGTGTATTTGATCAAATGGTACTTATCCAGCGAAAATTATTCTGGACCTAGTTAAGATGACAACAAAAATCTACCTACAGACAAATGGAATCTAAAGTATGTGGTTATGTGAGAAATGGAAATTTTGAACAATGGTGAAGATATTGAGCAAGAACCGAGGCTTGCCAAAATCTACAATCGGTGATGTTGATACTCCAATAAACATTCCCAATTGAAGGAAAAATATAATCATTCCCGAAAAGAGATGTTGACCAATCATTGATTTGTACATAAGTATTTAGTTATTGGGTTTGAACATTGACTCAAATATACATTTGCTGTTTTTTTTATTGATTCCATTATTTGCTCAAGATTGGTGTTTCATGTATTTGTTCATGTCTTTTTGCATCAACTTTCAGATAAAATTTCGCCCTCTTAGTTAAATGCTCAACTTGTTTTCGAATTTCACTGTTGACCTTATTTGTATAGATGTCATTTTATAAGATGATATGTGTTATATGGGAATGTTACCTGGATGCATAACACCTGAGTGTCACCCCTTGTTTCAGTAACCTACAGGAGGAATGGCTGATCGTTAAACCCAAGGCCAACGATTCCCTGGCTATCGTAGTTGCTGACGTTGACACTGAGTATAGCGCGAACTGTGGATATGACAGGGTGTCAATATATGATCGTGCGTACTAAAATAGGACTTTGATTTTGTTTTTTAAACATTAAATATACTAATGGGTCGAAGCCTCTGATTGTATGACTACCTGTGCAATGTTTTAATGGATGTCAGATGAAAGAGACCTGGACCAACTTGTATAAAACATCTCAAAGTTAAGGAAAATCTCAAGCAATGTATTGTCTATGGAAAATCTTAGACTTGAGGAAATCTCAAAAGTTGAGATGTTTTATACAAGTTGGCCCTGGTAACTTAACTGTAAATGCTATCCTCAATCTAGCAAAAAATCTGTTTTTTGTTTGAGCAACATTCTGCTCTTACTTTGCTGTATTAGTGTAGAGCATCTCTATCTTTAAGAAGTAGAAGACGCTTATCATTCCGCAACACCTGATCTCACTTTTCTGGTACATTTTCAATGATTTCCATGTTAATTTTATCCTTTGTTTATATTTTGTCCAATTTTATCAATTTTGAGTTCGGATTACGGTTCTGTTTTCACGTCGATATTCTCTTGTTTGTTTTCAGGAAGCTGTCCTGACACAGCACCGAAAAGGGTCTTTTGCGGAAAAATAACGCTATCTGTGACACTCAAGGGAGATCAGTTTGCGCTTGTCCGTTTTTCAGCAGATACTACAAACCATGGACGAGGGATCATGGTTAAATATTGGCTGAATGACAAAACAGGTTGGCTATTTGATTTTTATTTCGTCCATATAAATTTATCGGAATTGTCATATTAATAAATAACAACTGATTGATCTAAAATATGATCACTGATGCCTTCAATTTGACGATGTATGATTCTTCAATTGATTATATTTCTTTATTTAGTATTTTCATCACTCCTGTTGATATGACAAAAACATATTTAAAAACTATCTTAAGGATCCATGTACCACTGCCAAAAACTGTTACACATTTTTTTCCGCATGACTTTAGCCTTAATGAATTATTTCTGAAAATATAACACTACCTTGCAGGATTTTTATGAAAATCATATAGATCCAATTAACAAAATATAATCATCCAGATTGTTCTGAGTGTAACTATACTGTATATAGGAGTGCAGTGGGGCAGGGAGTCTTAATGGTCTTTAAAATTCATTTGCTACTTCACTGAATATGCCTTTGAATTGAATTTCCCTGTAATATTGATTCAATAAGACCTTTCAAGAACCTGAATCCTCCGATATACTACGGTCAGACTCACACTTTCGTTTTAAACTTGTGTCCGATCGATTTCTCGTTTTTCTTCACCAGATCTGGCAAAAGACGACAGTGTTTTAGATGACACAAGCTTGAAAACTATCATCGTTGGGGTCATAGTCGCTTTCGGCGGATTCTGTGTATCACTGGGTGTAATTCGATGGGTCATGCGGTGTAGGGAGAGACGTAAACAAAAGGCGGGAAACGGCAGACGACACGCTAATGAAGCGAACAACAGCCAAGAACCTTCCTCAAGGACATCTCGGCGTCAAGGACACCGACAGTCCGGGAATGGCGGAAATACCACAGTCACAGTCTTGGATGTTTCCCATACAGGTCAGACACGAAGGAATGGCCGAGGCGGTAGAAATTCCCTGACGGAATTCACAGGTATCATGGTTCAACCTCCGTCGTATAACACACTGTTCGTCCCCGGCCAGGGGCAATCCGAACTCATCTTGAAGCCTCCAGCGTACGACTCTAAGTCGTACGAACCCCCGCCTTACCCCGGAAGCCCCGTCCCTCCGCCTCCGATAGAGACGTCACAAAGAACAAACCGATTGCTTCCATCCGTGCATGGAACAAGGGGAGGTAATCGACGTAATCAGCAAAGAACTTCTCAACATACCACACGTATCGCAGTGAAACCAGTTGAAGACAATAGAGAAGAATTACGTTCTCCACCACCGAGATATGAGGAATGACCGGACAGGTTATTGGTACTTCAATTGATAGAAAGACTCAAATCGGTTATGGAAATTGAATTGTTCGAATATCTCCGAAGTTCCTATAAATCAATGAGTAAATATAAAAATTTAGCAATTTACCATCGGAACAAGGCAATGGGCTCAGGCAGAGAATCTGAGTTTGAGCATGAGAATATGTTCTCATGAATACGGTTCCAGGAGTAACTGAAGGGTGTGGTAATTGCGTATTCTTGATACCTTTTTATTGTACAGTGCGCAGTAGTAACTTTGTTTACAAATGTATATATTGATTAATGAGGGTTTACATGCATTGTATGCACTTTTCTTATTTTAATTTTGAAAAATTTGCAGGAGCTGCCTTATCAGGCGCTATAACTACTAGTCCTATATCTCTCTTGGCTAAGTTATCCCTATCTGCGTGTGTGCTGAAGATGCATTGTGTTTTTTGTAATTATTTACAAACAAAAATCTATCTAATTTCCACCGAACATTGACGATTTTGGCATATATCAATATATATATATATACAATTTGAAGAAATCGTTTACAAAAAGGCATGGACTTCCACAATTTGAAGTAAAATAGTGACAAATTAACGTCATTTTCCTTACGATCACAGTGCAAATGAGTGAAAGCGCTTATGAATATGATGTAAATGAGAGAAAATAACAGAAAAATATCAGTTCCTTACCTTTTTCTATCAAAGTTAGCTTAATTGAAAAGATATGAAACACAAAACTTATATCGATTAATGATTCTCGACTGTATACTGACAGCGGGATTTTTATATTGATTTCTTGTTCAACATTTATTTATATTTATTTGTATTTGATCATCGATTTAATATCAATGCAGTACGTTTCCGCTTTGTAACACTGACGTTGAAATATAAAAATATACCTATATGAAATTTCAGTGGAATGTCATCGTATTGGGAAAATATATGATTGGTACGTAACTGCAAAGTACATATCCAGTAAGTGTGGTCTAAAATGCCAAGGGATGGGCAGTCAGTTGTATTTTGTTAGACGTGTGATTATAACTTCCATGTGTTTATCATAGCATTCCTATGCTACAGTGAAAAAAATATTTGCTGATGGGATGAGTTGGGGTTGGTGTGGGGTAGGGGGGTTTGCCTTATCAGTTTATGTTATATTTATTTCTATATATAACTTCTTTTTACCTTGATTTTTTAAAACCTTTCAGTTTGATGTACACTTAAATTTAACCTTAAACAATATATATTACCTCCTTAATTAATTGAACAGGATATATAGATTCACTAAACCGGAAATTGTTTCTTTAATATCAGGGTGTAGAGAGTGATTTAGTCTGGTAATTGCTGTCTTGTGTAGTGAAATAAGAACTCAAATAAAGTCATAATAAAAGTTGAATAAATATTGATTCAAGACTCAAGGATTCCTATCCAACTGCAGGCAAAACACTGGAGAGTTCTATTTTAGTTTTTTTCCTAAGTTGAGTGACCTCCACTTAATTTTCTTATGAATATAATTGTTATGTAATTGTTATGGAACTGTGCCAGATATTTACAGTTGAACAATGTTGCACATTTGGTTAGAACGATTGTATTGATGAATAGTTGATACGGACACTTAAATTTTACCTTAGGAAATATAGTACTTTCTTAATTAATTGAACAAGATATATAGATTCACTAAACCGGAAATTGTTTTTTTAATATCAGGGTGTAGAGAGTGATTTAGTCTGGTAGTTGCTGTCTTGTGTAGTGAAATAATAACAATGGAAAATTCTATTTTAGGGTTTTTTCCTAAGTTGAGTGACCCCCGCTTAATTAATTTATGTTTGCATATAATTGTTATGGAAATGGGCCAGATAATTACAGCTATACAAAGTAGCACAATTTGATGGAACGATTGTATTGCGACCGGAGATCTATGGTTCGAATATTAGTACGGCCCCGTTGCTGATTGTTTATTGGATTACATCCTTGTTTGTTTTGTAAGGTAGGCTTTTTTCATAAATAATTTATTAGCAATTTTTCAAGCAGGTAAAATGTTCCCAATCAAAAATTTCATTTTAGCAGTGGTACAGGGAACCTTAATGTTTTTTTGTGTGAAGTGAATCATTGTACATGTGCTTGTGTATAGTGTCTACTTATATATTGTCATAGCATATGAGTTATTTTTAATGAATATAAGGTTGTATATAACATTAGTCTTGTTATACTGTTAAACGTCTGTGATACAATTGATTTATTGTTGATATTAATGTTAATACGTCTGTATTTTGTTAGAGACAAAATCGACATTTACATTTTCTTACACAATGGAATTCATTTATCTCGATATTTCGTTGTCTGATATATTTTCACATTTAAACAAGCCTTCGTCAAATTTGTGCCTAAATGATTTCGGCAGCCGGTAGGCAGTGGGTTTTCCAGACCATATGAAGGATATTCCTTTGTAAATATTCAACGTTTCGCTTGTTAAGGATTGCTTTGCAATTGAACTTTCTTTTCAGGATCTTAATCAGTCCATTCGTTTGTTATCTATCATAACTTCTTCCGAAAGAATGTACTATAAAAGTTATTTTTGTACAATTTTAACAAAAAAATTGGAGCCTCGGAATGGCAGACACTTTTGTTCCCAGTAAAGAATGCTGAGTCGAGGGGCAGAAGGAATACTTGAATAAGTCGTGTTGTTAATAAAATGGCCATTCCTGTCTTCTTAAAAATCGACTGGAAAATAAAACAACTTCAAAATAGTGTTGGCTGATTTAGGATATCCTTTTTATATTTGCATCCTTATAAAAAGAAATCATCTACCTTTTGTAATTTTAAACAGTCTCATTAAAGGAGCTTGGCCATTTTGGAACAGTAAACCGTGTAGCTTTCTGATAAATATATAAAACTGGGTATCTGGGTACAAACTAAACATAGTCAAACCTTTGAAACGATATACTAAACATAATATATAAATCGATGTAGATAATTAGGGGTTTACCAAATTTGAAATCTTTGTTGGGCAGTCTTTAAGTATTGACAAATTATTTCGCAAGGTTCATAACAATGCGTTATTAAACACAAGCAAACTGCGTAATATTGTAAAGTTGTCTCCTAAAATCGTACGTCTTGCTCACGTCTTTAGGAAGTGAGTTAACGTATTCGGAGCATAGAAATTCTTCGTGATTTTCAATTCGTTAACATTATAACGTTTATTTGACGCGTTATAAGTGACTTGTTGAAATGTGCGATAGCGTCAACACAAAGGGGAAAATCTAACAGTAGAGTCTGCTCATCTATTCACGAATTCTCGCTGAGCAAGATAGTAATAAACGTTTAAATAAAACCTTTTTCTACTTGCAATATTTTAGATATAACATGTTCTAAAATATAATTATGGCTATAAGACTTATTTTTAAATTGTAACGCTGTTCATGATTGTACAGGATTTATTTTTAAAAAATGTGTTTGTTACAACTATTCATTTGGAAAATAAAAACACTTTTTATCTTTTCATATTCTGTTTCTGGTCTTCTGTGAGAGTTTTCTCCCTTGCCTTGTTAGATGACATTGTTTTGCATTGTTCGACCACAGTTATATCTGCATTGATTTGCAGGTGGGGTCTACTATACATATAATATCAGTATAGAATGAATATAGAAGAACAAACACACATACCCTTTAATGCGAGTCAGATACCTGAGGTTCGAAGACCCTTCTTTATAACTTGTCTTGCCTCGTTTGACGTACCTTGCTAAGCATGATATCGACTCCCATTTTGTGTACAATGATGGGCTAACGACGGATCTACATGATGACTTGCTAAACATATTTATATTTATATATGCATAATAATGCTTCGGCGAATTAAAATCACATGTTCTTCATTGAAGAAAGTATCTGCACATTTAAATTATTATGAAATTTTATAAATGTGGATACTTGACAAAAATAGATAAATGTGGATACTTGACAAAAATAGATAAATGTGGTTACTTGACAAAAATAGATAAATGTGGATACTTGACAAAAATAGATAAATGTGGATACTTGACAAAAATAGATAAATGTGGATACTTGACAGATAATTTCATCATACTTTCTTTAAAGCAAACTTTAAAAACACGTTTCCCTTCTCAATTTCTGTAATTTTTATCGCAACTAACCCGTTGTCATATCTACATTCATAATGCATATATTTCATTTCTCTAACTATATAAGATCTGTAAATGACACACACTTAGGACGACTTTATTGAAGATGAAGTAAAGTTGTAACTTCTACTTAGCACAAATCTACCTGCGCAGCACCTTTTGATCCAAACAGAGATGAACGTATCCATATGTTGGCCATTGGTAACTCTGTGGACGATTAAGTGTCTTTTTTTTTAGTGGTAAAACCATTCAAACGCAGCATATATTTGTTAAAATACATAAATTACATCTGTCAAAAACGGACAAAATAAACTTAATATACAATCTAAAATACACTTGATACATATTATGATAAATAGACATAATACACAACAAAATAAAATGTGTAAAATTGCATACACAGGTTAAAACAAGCATTATTCATAATGTTAAACTATACATACAATGTATTTGAATAAAAGAAAAAAAAATAATTTTTAATTAATCAAAATATACATTGTACATAATTATAATATATGTTTTAAACAAACATCAAACGCATGTTGAAACAAGCACATACCATCCGTGTTGGAAAACACATATTTCCTATTTTGAAATAGACAGCATACACATAATACACATATTATAATACACACAATATTAAAGGTATGTAAAAATAAAATAAAAAATATAAACAAATACAAATGTTATGATACAAAAAATTGCCATGTTGACATACACATAGTAAACAAGTTGCACCGTATCATACAGTTTTTACGTCCTTCTTGGTTTCATGGATTGTGCTAGGGGTCAAAAAGTTACAAATCAAAATCAGACAAACATAATTCACAAGATAGAATGTATGAAAAGCACATGCTGGCCTCAACACATGTTACCCAATGATGACCCATAAAACGATGGGAACGATATTTCAAACAGGCAAAATGATGATGGTGACACTAGGTGTTATGACAAAATGCAAGTGCTTTTGATTATTAAATCCTAAAAACACATCATTGTAATGTTATTGCCATACATCACACGTAAGTAGATTTTCGAACAGCTCGAAAAAATGAATTCTTAAACACATAATTTTATTTCTCTGTTTCAACAAATCAAAGCAGAGACAAAATTTCAGATGTTCACGATTTTGTTTTATTCACACTTGAAAGTGTCCTTAACAATTGGTTACCTATTACTTAGCTTTGTTCAGCTGCATGTCTCCAATAATCCAAGACAAATGTAGCATGACACATTTTAAGATGTCATAGTTTGTAACAAGTCAGGATGACGAATGTTAAGGGTTTTAACACATTTTAAAGCTTATCATGTGGCAAACAATGACTTGGTTGTTTACTGGTCAAGATATGTTTACCCAAAAACAAACTCGGTGTTGTGAATTTCGGGGGGAAGTTCCTAGTTACTTTCACCAAGCGCTTATAGTGCGCATTAATCATAAATATATTGACTTAAAGAACAGATAAAATCAGCAAATATATATCAGGATAATTGGCACTTTTTTCAACTGAAACATTCATTGAACCATACTTACAAACACAGATAATGTTGCATTCAGAAAATCCCGTTAGAAAACTAAGGCCAGTCTTATATATGAGATAAAGATAAATGTAATTATAAACATTGATGTTATTTTAGTACATTGGATGATTACTTTCCTTCTGCAGAAAAGAAACACTAGACAGCTCCATTGTAGTTTTTCGTACATACGGTAACCTCCCATTTTTGCTATAACTGTAAGTCCAGGTAGCTCAGTTGGAGTAGGAGCGTTATTATAATGATAATAGTTCCAGGGTTCGAATCAAGAATCGTTTTCACGAAGCCGTTCTCATGCTCAAACTCATCTTCTGTACTCAAGCCCAATTTATTATCCGGTGATATATCAATTACATTTTGTCAATAATCTGGAGCAATTTTGTAGAGGCGTTGGGCCGAATACCATTTTCGATGATTACACTTGGCTTTTTGACCACGTGACATGAATTTAAGTCAGTTACAAAAAACGTAGAATTTGGCACATATTTTATGCTTAAGCACGAGAACATTTTCCGTGATACGGACACTGGTCTGCCGATTTTTTACACTCAGAAAACTGTTATTGATTATTTTTTGTTTATTTCATCTTTACCAATTTGCATAAAGGTTCCACAAGGTATAATCTTCTATTCAGAAATACAGTTTTGGCAGTGATACGATGATCCTTAAAACACAATTCAAGATTCCCAATGAAGATAAAACATTTTCATGACTTAAATTTCCCCCTATGAAATCAACACCCTAAACTCAAGTCAGCTAGCTAGCTATGAAACATAACATTTTAAAACAAGATAAAACAACCTGATATTGGTGTTCATCTTGTTTTAAAGTTTCAAGGAATGGAAAACATAAGCTTTTTCTCAGTACAATAAAATATTGGTTTGATTTGCTTAAATTGTAACTGTATATATATATATATATATATAAGAAACGAAACGAAAGAAGACCATTAATCAAAATATTAAAACCAAGTCTCAACAGGCCACGGTGAAATTTTACGCTAAATTGTCCACCAATCTTGTGTACTTCGTGACGTCACGTTACTATTTTAGTGTGATGACATGTAATTGTGACGTCACGACGTTGTTCTTTTGAATAAACCTGAAGAGTCCTGTGAAGGGTGAAAGCAGCTAGTTTTTTAGTCTGTCGTTAATCTTATTTTTTCTATATATATATATCACATAATATATGCAAAAAAAACCACAGTTCTTTGTCATCGAGGATTGAATTCATGGAATAATTTCACTTTAAACATTTGAATATATTTACAGTATAGTCAAAGTTGTCTTATATGGCCGTTATTAGAAGTTTATATGAAACTAACGTCGGTTACAAATGACCAATACAAAAAAATTAAATTCAATTTTTCTAATAAAATAACACAATGCCTATATCTCCTATCCAGTACATCGTCCCTATAAAATTGCTATATACCAATATAAATGCTACTAATATTATACATAAAATAAGCTAAAGCACTAGAGAAAAACAGTAACGTAGCAATAATTGTTGCAACGTCACAACTAATTGTGTAAACACATAAACGTATGATTTATTACGCACATTTGTACTGACTACAGTTCTTAAAGTTCTTACATAATGCCTGTTTTCTGATAAGTTTGAATAAGTCACTGTTTGATATCACAACAACTCCATATCTCCATATCTCCTGTGTAGAAAATATTGCATTTCGTGCATTTCCTTGGTCATACAACTGTTAATTAATTTCGCTATGATATCAATTAGTTATATTCAAAGTAAACACTTACCTAATAACGTTATGGGCAAGATCTGAGAGATTACACATTTGAAGTCAATGCCTAGGTGAAGATCTTTTATTTTTAATTTCTGTCAGGGACACGTAAGTGTGTAACAAGAAGTCACGTATGTAAAGCAAATATTATACAATTTAGCAACCCGTGTTTCAAGTAGTCAAACGTGTACAAGTCTAAGGCACGTGTACTACCACGGCAGACACGCCACCTCCGTCCCGAAAACGTGCGGTAGAACCGCATGTGTATAAACACGTGATTTTTTTTTTCAAAGTTCCGCACTAATTATTACATTTCATGTGTGCAACGTGAGGCATACTCACGTTTTCCTGCAGCTACTGGTTTTACAAAAAGGATTATCTTTCATTCGAATTTCAGGACAAATTGATGTCGATAACTGGAAAGTTAGTAATGTCGATAGCAACCGACAAACTTTATTTTTACGTCGGACTATGCATGACAAACTATTAGCCAGAGTGATTAATTATGCGACGTTGAGTTAAAGGGAAACCTATGCTCCCTCTCGTTCAAATAGCATGGTCTTGTGCAGAAATATTTTCATTACATTATTTCAATGTCACCGTCGTTTACCTACGGGGTAATTTGTTTGATTTATTAATAGGTTTTAATTTCAATAAACAGTTTTTAGTTTCGGATCCCTTCAATTGGCTAGATTTCTGTATGCTTTGTAGTTGCTGAAAGTGTTGCTATTTTTTTCTTTTCTTTTTGTTGATTTACTAGTTTCCAGTTTCCTGGTGGTGTTTCTGTTACTGATTTAACACTACCACCTTAATTTACTTTCAGTAAAGAAAACTAAATATTACGAATATTATCTGCATGTAAAAATGCATATAATTTCTGTTTTGTTTCTCAAAATTTTTCAAATTCAGCGATGTTCTCTATGTATATCAACTGGTTATCTAACCCGAATTATCACAGTAGGGATTTATCTTACCTTATATCTCCTTGTCGGACCAATGAATCAGTTCAACATGCTGATGAATGAATGCTGATAGTAGATTTTCGG